ATCAGACAAGACCTGGATAAAATCAGGGGCCGCATTACTACTGTGGAGACTAGAGTGGGGACGCTGGAGGACACCTCAGTGGCTCCTTCACAGACATTGCAAGACCTGCAGCGTTCGGTGGCACAGCTAACTGCACGTTCTGAGGATGCTGAGAACAGGCTGCGACGCAATAATGTCCGTGTTGTGGGGCTGCCAGAGGGGGCTTAGGGTCCTGATCCTGTATCCTTTGCTGAGAAATGCTTTAAAGATCTCCTGGACCTGCGGTCGGTCTCAGCGGCCTACATTGTGGAGCGTGCACACAGGGTTCCTGCAGCACCGAGACCCCCTGGATCTGCACCCCGACCTTTCCTGGTCCGCCTGCTCAATTTCAGGGATAGGGATCTGATCCTTGCCACAGCTAGACGGAGGGAGACAGCGCTGCTGTACCAAAATACTACTGTCATGCTCTTCCCTGATTTTTCTCCAGAACTACAGAAGCGAAGGCGCTCCTTCCTGGATATCTGTCGCCGACTTCGAGACAAGCGCCTGACATATAGCATGCTGTACCCTAGCAAGCTGCAAGTGCAGTATGCTGGCTCTACAAAATTCTTTGAAAAACCATCTGTTGCCTCAGTCTGGCTGGACTCCATTCGTTAATCCTGCTGGAATCGCTGTGTATCTAATGGGACGCTACAGGATCTTTTTTTCTCACTTCTCCTGTACGATTTTTGTTGTTCGTGAACACTGACATTGCTTTATTTTTTGTTTTTATCCTAAACTTTATCTACATGGACCTCTGGATCACCTGCTCTGCCTTCTCCATTGGTTACGAGGGCGCATTCTCCTGCAGTGAGCTGCAGGGGCTATATGGTGGTGTATATACCCTATGCACAAATTGTGTTCCGGTGTCTACAGCACCATCTAGCTGTGAGTATTGAGTAATACTCTTTTTTTCCACTTTCTTGTTTTTGGGTATATCAAGCTGCTCTACAGTTTTGTTACTTTGTTCACTATGTGGACTATTTCTTTTTTTGCGTTTTCATGTTATGTTGGTTTTCTAGTTCCATATCTCAGTTCCTGATCTGGTCATGGTCATGCTCTTCCCCCCGGCCTGGTTGGCTCTCTGCATATCCTACTGCTCCTCACAGTCTCTTTAGTCATGTTATGATTTTACACTTAAATGGCTGACGCTATACAAGTTATCTCCTGGAATGTAAGAGGCCTGAATTCCAAATTTAAACGTGCATTGGTTCTCAAATTTCTTAGATCCTATAATCCTCAGGTAATTTTGTTGCAGGAGACTCACCTACTTGGCAATAGGACCCTGGCCCTACAGCGGAGGTGGATACAGAGAGCCTTCCATGCCACCTACTCCACCTATGCTAGGGGAGTGGTTATTAACTAACTAACTAATTTTAATTAACCGGCTCCACATCACAGGGTGTACGATCCTGGCGACTGGTGCCTACCTGGATCTCTAATGACACGGTGGAGGCCTCAGTGCAACCGCATCTCTCTACCTACTGGAGTATAAATGCTAACACATCTAATAGTTCTATAGTGTGGGATGCTTTCAAGGCCACCACCAGAGGGGAATACATCTCAGCAATTAAGTATGCTAGGGAGGTTGCTGACTTTGACTTTGTCTAAGTTGCGGGTTCAGGAGGCGGAGTGCGCGGCGGCCCACGCTGGGGCTTCGTCCTCGGCACGCTGCAAGACTTGCTGATGATTCGCAGAAAGTTGTTACTCTATCACCAGACATTGACTCAGTCTGTCCTTCATACACAGTCTGAACGATTATATGAGAAAGGGAATAAGACTGGGAAATTGTTAGCGATGCTTGTGGCGGGGCAGAGAAATCACACTGTTATACCCTGTATCCGAGCCTCAGATGGCTCATCATTAACTGACACGGCTGCCATACTCCGGGAATTCGTAGCCTTCCATGCGGATCTCTATCAGAGGATTCTTGTTTATGATGAAACCTCCTTAGATGTTCTCCTCACCTTGGTGGATCTTCCACAACTCACATCCACAGATAGAGATCTGCTTGAGGGTGCATTCTCGGAAGAAGAAATTGCTTGGGCTATCCAATCCTTCCCTAATAACAAATCTCTGGGTCCTGATGGCCTACCATCCGAATGGTATAAAAAACATGCTGAGGGACTGGTGCCTAGGCTCCAGGCCCTATATTCGGACTGCCTGTCCTCAGGCGCATTGCCCTTCTCTATGTATGACGCTCATGTGGTCCTGATCCCCAAACCGAATAAAGACCCACTACTGTGTTCTTCTTATAGGCCCATATCAAAATTAAATGTGGACTTCAAGATCCTCACAAAAATCCTGGCCTCAAGACTATCTAGGGTCATTACTTCCTTAGTATCCCCAGACCAGACTGGCTTCATCCACCAGAAATCCACGGATATTAATCTCCGACGCGTGTATACCCATACACAGATAGTACACGACAACACGGGCTCTAGAGCTATGGTCTCCCTAGACCTACAAAAGGCCTTAAATTCTGTTGACTGGGCATACCTACAGTTGGTACTGCTTAAAATGGGTTTTAGTCCCCTTTTTCGTAGATGGGTAAACATTTTATACAGACAGCCGATGGCCGCCATTAAGATAGGGGCGACTCTCTCCCAGAGTTTTCCGATCTACAGAGGGACGCGATAGGGTTGTCCACTATCTCCGGGTCTGTTCGCCTTGGCGATAGAGCCAGTTGCGTATGCCGTTCGCCAAAGATCAGAGGCCTTGGTGTTGGGGCACTGGAGGAGAGAGTGGCCCTATACGCGGACAACATGATTCTTTTCTTGGCGGATATAGGCCCCTCCCTTTCTGAGTCCCTTCGAGTCATTCAGACTTTTTCGACCTACTCAGGACTGACATTAAACTGGAGTAAGTATCAGTATCTTCCCCTGGACCCCATGGCCTCTACCTTGACTTTGTCCTCTGCTCCGCTACAAAAGGTGCACACCTTTAAATATTTGGGATTGCATATATCTAACACAGTGTCCGACTTTATAACACTCAATGTATATCCTGTGATCAGTGTATTTAGGTCCCGATTGCTAGCATGGAAGCACCTGCCCTTATCTCTTATTGGTAGAATTAATCTCATAAAAATGAAACTTCTCCCCCTCCTGTTGTATATTATACGCAACTCTCCAGTATGGATCCCAAAAAGGATCTTTAAGAACATAGATGCGTTAATGTCAGATTTCTTATGGAATGGGCAAGCACGGAGAATTAAAATGTCAATATTGCAGCTTCCGTGGGGGGGGGGGGGGGGGGGGGGAAGCACTACTTGCTCATAGGTGGCTCACAGAACAGACTGTCGACCCCGCGGTTACCTTAGAGGCAGCTCTAGTGGGATCCTATGAGGCTCTTAGACACCTATTACTCTGAGGCAGGGGTTCCCCCTATAGACAGACTCCTTCAATGAGAGCTGTTCTTCGTGCTGGGACTAGGTTGCATCCTCAGAGCGAGGATCCGTTCCTGGAGTTATCACCTTATACCCCGCTATGGCGGAACCCCTCCCTCGCTCATTTTGCGTCCATACAGGACCCCATAGTCTGGACAACCAGAGCAGTACTTACACTAAATGATATTGTGCAGAATGGAGCTCTGCGTACATTTGAGGAGCTCAAGTCGGCCTATGCACTGCCGAACAGTCACCTGTTTTGATATCTCCAGCTTCGTTGCGCTTTCTCTGCCCAGTTCCCGGGAGGCCGCCTCTCTCTATCAGTTGCTCTCCCTCAGGGGGGCAAGACCCCTTCTGCAGTGCCGGAGGGCCTGGGAGGTGGACTGCCCGGAGCTGGGGGAAGGTGACCTGGGCGAAGTCTGGGATACTCCCCTGACTATCCTGATATCTGCTAGAGACAGATTGATTCAATATAAAATTGTGCACAGAGCATACTTTACACCTGCTAGACTTGCTGTCATGCGGCCTACAATGTCGGCTAAATGCTGGAGATGCCATCATGAACCTGCTGGCCTACTACACGTACTATGGTCTTGTCCCAGACTTTTGGACTACTGGCGGGAGGTGATTAGGGTGGTGGAGGAGGTATCGGGAGTGCCTATCCCTATGGCGCCTGGGGTGTGCATCTTGGGTCTTGTTGACGACCTGGCTCCTACTGTGGCGCCCCGTACCCTCCTTACTTACTTGCTATTTTATGCTAGGAAACGTATTGTTCTACAGTGGAGGAAACTGGTGGCACCTACATTGGGGGCTTGGACATCTTTGGTCAATGCTTCATTACCCTTTCATAAAGCGACCTATGCTAGTAGAGGTTGTTCTTTAGAATTTGAGAAAATATGGTCATCATGGCTCCAGTCGGCTAGCACGGTGGTTGGCTAACTATATACGCCTTGGGCAACTGAGCAACTGCCCTCTGATTATTTGAGCATCACTGACATCTAGTAACATTACTAAAGGAGGCCAAATAGGGTCGGAAACTGTACTCTGGCCCTAAAGGTGTCTGTTTAGATTTATTTTTATTTAACTGGATGTATGTTCCTATATAGTCAGCCTTTTTCTTTCGAGACTGGGTCTGTTCTGCCCCGATTTTTTGTACGTAAGTATTTTTAACTGTATGTACAATTATGACACTATGTTAGTGTCTTGTTTTGCATTACTGTAAAATGAATTTTAAAAAAAGTTAAAAAAAATAAATAAAAGTGGAACGCAGGGACTGGCAGCAAAAAGGTTAATGCAAACAAAAAAGAAAATGCAGAGAAAAGCATATTTTTTCTTTTTAAGGCAAATAATAACAAAATGCATTGCAAAAAAACACTAATCGTTCTTTTTAATGAAAACAATGACGAAAACATGCATAATGAATATGACAATAATAAAACGTAACAAATGGGTAATAATGTGATTAAAGCAGACTTGTAGCTCCCCAGTGTCTTAGTAATTAGCTTAGGTGCACATTTTCAGCAGTTAATGGTCATTCTAAATGACTGTATAATGATGGAAAGTATGAAAGTGTGTTAAGATGTATTGTGTCCTTGTGTGATGTCTAAAATGCCATGCGGCACTGCAGGTGTTAACTGTAGTAAAGCCTATTGTGTTGGTTGGCTTGAAAAGGCCATGTGACAGCGAAGAACCTGCCTGTGCTGTCTGCCAGCTGGATTCATAGAAATCTGCAAGAAGAATGCAGAAGAGAGCCAGCTGGGAACCTTAGGAAGAGCTCACTGACAGGTAAGGATGATACAGCCACCTGTCACCATAATCTACCCAATGTAAATGCTAAAGGACCCTGCTATTGCACACACAACCCAAGTGGCATATGACCAGGGAATAGACTTCTTTGTTTGAGTGTTTGCTGACTTGTGGATTGCTTTTCATTCATTGCCAACAAATTGAAGACTCCAAGATACATATATATCGAAACCCACAGCTGGTGCATGCAGACAAGGTGAGCTGCAATCATTCGCATGGATACACTGCAACATCTTTCTGGCGAGAATGATCTATGTATCAATTATGATGATTTTTCTGCACAGCTTTGGCTGGGTCTGTGAAAGTCTTTCCATCTCAGTAAATTAACAAGCAAGCATGTCATCTCAATTTATAACAAGCAGCCCCTCAGTTAATGCAACCACTGACTCCCCTGCTGTTATTTGCTTTTGCTGGACGATGAAGAAGAATGCATCAATTAGTATTCTGTAGCTTCCTTCTAGTTCTGGTTGTTGGATTGGGATTGTATTCTTTTCTGTATCCACAATGTAATCCATAGCGTATAACAGAAATTGTGTGTTTCATGCCTGTAACATTTTTATTCACTGAAACCCATGCTATGATTTGTTTTACAGGTAAGCCCCCATTCACACCTGAGCATTTTATTGCATGTTTCCTGAAGTGCGACAACGCCCAACATGAAGAATCTCATTCTTTTCAATGGTGGGCGTTCACACCTGAGCATTGTGTCACCTGTCATTTGTAGCTTGAAGCTCGAAAAACTACATGAGCTTTTTTTTTGGCAGATCTGAGAAGTCTATAGCCCCATAGACTTCAATGGGAATGCTGAAATGTGTGTCTACTCCTCCTGGTAACTAGCTATTAATTGGCTAAAACAAAAACGATCAAGCCTTGAAATGCTGGAAAAATGCATGAAAAATTGTACAAAAACAAAACAATTGCCTGAAATACATTTAGCTCAGGTGTGAATGTAGGCCAGAGTATTTTTTTTTTACCTGTGTGATATACTTTTTTCAATAAACAATAATTTTTAAAATTAAACTGCAGTATAAACATAAACATTTTAATAGTTTTATTTTTAATGGCAGAGCTTTATGGATCTCTTCTTTGGATCTTTATTTATCTAGAGCGTGCAGGCCTGTTAATATATTAGCTGATCTCCTATAACAGACAGCCAGAATAATGTGGTTTGGTGTGTCTCCTTTGCTTGAATCTCATTGGGTGTCAGAAATGAGGCATGATGGGTCTGTACCATTCTCCTACAAGTGTTGAGGAGGTGGGAGTGGCCACACACATTTCCTGTTTGAATTCCTGCATTTGTGTATTTGTTGAAGTAGGGACACAGTTGAGTGCACTAATATGGCAATCGGCTTATGTACAGGTGAAACTCGAATAATTAGAATATCGTGCAAAAGTAATTGCAGTAAGTGCTGCAAAAGGGGCCCAAAACAAGTACATATGCATGCTTGTACTTTTCAGAGGTCCGATATTGTTCTATGTACAATCCTTGTTTTATTGATTGCATGTAATAATCTACTTTTTTGAGGTTGTGGATTTGGGGTTCTTGGGGTTTTCATGAGCTGTAAGCCATAAACATCACAATTATGACAAATCACGGCTTGAATTATCTTGCTTTGCATGTAATGAGTCTATCTCATATATTAGTTTCACCTTTTAAGTTGCATTAGTGAAATTAATGAACTTTGCACGATATTCTAATTATTCGAGTTTCACCTGTATAAGGGTCCCTTTCATACGGCATCTGCACCGTCATGTAAGATAGACAACAGAATAAAAACTGATCAGTTTACTTCTGATTGACCATCCTTCTTCCATTCAGTTCAGTTCTGTTTTCATTTGAATAAATCCATTTTGTTTACCATTAACATACATGTTTACATGTTTTTGTTTAAACTCCCATAAATATTCTACATAGTATTCCCTTCTGGGGTTACAGCCTGGAACACCTCCTGCTAAAGCTTCTCCTTCCTCACTATATTACTTGCAGGAGATGTCCCAAAGCCCTAGCCTCTCATGGAGGTGTTGAATAAGAGCATCACGGGAGAAATCATGCACCATCTTTACACCTTTCCTGAATGATAAGATGGATGCCAAGTACCAGGCACATGCCCTCTCTTTCTGGGTCACATATCTAAAGTGCCATATATGTGAAGAATGGCCTCCACAACTGGACACAGATAGGAATATTGGTGATGGCAGAGTTTGATGTGAAGTAGATGTAAACCCAATCACTAAAATCTAAGTTGATCATTAAAATATGAATGTTTACAATTACTTTTACAATAATACATATTGATACTGACATGAAGGTCATTGTTGGCCATTTGCTGTGTATGGGGTGAGAATGCTCTGAACATGGAGTTGATTTACAAGAAGAGTAAGGTTACCAGATTTTTAAGATGAAATCAGGGGACACCCTATTGGCCATGCCCACTTTTACCCACACCCACAAAATCACACCCATTTTTGGGCAGTACATACACCATGGCGATTGGGAGTGGGAGTGGCTTAAAGGAGTACAGTTAAATAATACCTGATCCTACACTGCTCTGGGTCAATAGTGCATAACGCACAGAGTGCAGGGGTCAGGAGAGTGTAATGCACAGAGTGTAAGGGTCAAGAGTAAAGCTGGGTATAGACAGTTATATTTTCTTTGTTCAACCTGCAGGCTGAATGAAGAAAATAGAACAGATTCCTCTATCAATCCTTACGAGCGTGGATGGATTAATCCCCTGCTGTTTCCAATGTATTGACTGCAGTCAGAATACCCATAAATTCTTGGCCCATTCAGCCAAGAATTTTCCAACCTGCTCCTTCGATCAGTTGATCAAGGGATGCTGGGTGGAAGTTTGCTGACAGGGGCACCCACTGTGCAAAATCCGCACCATGTATACCCTATTTAAGAAATGTATAAAGTGCCTGCCAAGCAAAAATGACCACCTCCTCCCATTACAGCCTCCCCGGTCCCATGACAAAACCACCTGAGCCCATTCAGGGAGGGAGGAATAGGAATAGCTGTTGGGTGTACCTGCAGCTCAAGCAGTGCTTGCTGTTTCCTCCTGGGCATGCCAGTATGCATGCCTCCACTGGCTCTCTTCTCCCTGGCAGGTAGGCATAGAGAATTGCTGTGGCCCCCACAAATCCTCTGTGCTGACCCACAGCAGGAGCAACCTCTGGCACTGGCACCAGCACCATAGCCTCCCACTTGCAGGGCAGGTTTTCAGAAGAAGAGGAGTCAGATACACTCCAGGGATATGCAGTTCTGCAGAAGGCCCAGTCCCACAGTCAATAACATTCCTTGTTCCATCTGCAGTGGGGCCAGCTTGGTGCAGGGTAAGCTCTTTAATTCACTGTTACTGGAGTGGAGGCAGTTCTGCTGTTAGCAGGACGTTCTCTATACATATTGACATTTATGGTTTGGGACACTGCCAGGGACGCTTGTTTCCCAGGGACAGACCCCCTAAAAAAGCTGTTCACTTAGTGATGTGATTGTTCACTTTGGACAGTGTATGTTCACTTAGTGATGTGAATGTTCACATTGGACAGTGTATGTTCACTTAGTAATGTGTATGTTCATTTTAGACAGTGTATGTTCACTTAGTGATGTGTATTTTCACATAGTTTAGTGAATAAGGTGAAGCTGAGGTCACTTTAAATGCCCAATCATATGCAAGGGAAATAATAATAATAATAATAATAATGAAAAAAAAGGGGGTTTGATTGTACATAATTGGATTATTGAAGTTAGCACAGCTTCACCTTTTACTAACTAAATGACCATTTATTTAAAGTAAACAGTCTGTAAATCCATTAGTAAGTCAAACTCTATGTCTGGAAAAGGTAGCACTGGGTTGTCTACTATTTCTCTTGACATCACAAAGCCGGTGGCAACCTGTGCGGTTAGCAGAGCAACCCCAAGGAAGCTACATGTAAATGCTGGAACAGGAGATGCCTAAAGCAAACCTGTGCATGGTTTGCTTTACTGCTCCTCTTTGCCGCAGCAGTGCCATCCCTATAATATCTTTGGGTCACACGGGGGGGCGCAGCAGGCAGAGCAGCATGGCTGCTCTGCTGCACAATGTTTGCAGTGTGCCTGCCACCCCCTTTCCGGCCAGATTGTCTCATGTTGCTAAAAGTCTGGTGGGGGGATGTGAAAGGGCCATACACATATCCGTGCCCAGCTCTTAGCAACCTGGGGCATCCCACCAAGCTTCTAGGAACCAGTGAGGTCAGCAGAGATAATCCATCCACCCCCTCCATTAGCATGCACTACCTAAAAAAACTAGGGACACCACTATGCAGCACTCCTTCTGCAAAGAAAATACCTTGTTATTCTGGGTATAGATAAGCATGTGACTTACTACATGTTACAGTACTGGTGCTTGGGGATTGGCCCAGTACTGTCATTTAGGGGCAATGAGACTCTTTAGACCTGTGTAAACTCTGATCAGGTTGACTTTGAACTTCCTCAGGCCTTTCTTTGCTGCTAGCAAGGGGACACAGCAGTAGAGGTGTGAAGAAAAGGGAAGTGTATGCATGCTAAGGAGTGGGGCATTAAACTGAATTTGCTGCTTTGCACTGCACAGGTTAACTTTAAGTCGGGACTACAGAGGAATTGGCACTTATGTTGTAGGGATTAGTACAGTGGGAGGGTATGAGTAGTTTACCAAAAGACAACTGGGCAGAGCTGACACCACTTAGTCCACAAAAAATGCTGTGTATTGATTGCATTTCAAGCATGTCAACAGGCAATTTCTGTACTCGCAGGTGTATGTACTGCTGATGGGTTTTCTGTTTTGTTTTGTTTTTATTTTAATTTTTCTCTTACACAAATTTGAAAAATGCAGAGTTAATCTATCCAAGCATTACCACATTGGACCTTGTGTGTAAAGTGCCAGCAAATAGTGGGCTTAGATGTTGTCCACAGCAACTGATCAAATTCTAACCCGCATTAAAAGACAGCTGAGTAACACAGATTAGGCGGTTACACATAAGAACCCTTTGATTTTCCCAGCCAAATGTAAGACTGAAAAGGCAGACAAGGTTAAAGCTAAGATGTTGATCAATGCTGAGGAATTTCCCACATGATTCTGTGAAGACATCTGAAATTCATGCCCACAGCCTTGTCTAGGCTGAGAAAAACACAGACATGGAAGACAAGTAAGCATGCCCAGTTTGATGTGATGAATAATGGAAGAGCTGAAAGCGTGCCAGTGATTTGGATTAGAGGTTAGAAAAGGAGGATGTTTTGGGTAGACACAGTATTCCCGCCATCAGTAATAATTCTAACATTATGGATAGATTATTTTGAACACACCTGTAATTAATGTTACCTGTAAGAAGCAATAATCACAGTTATCAGGAGCAGTGGGGAGTGCCATCAACTACGTCCTTTACTTGTCATAGTAATGCAATATTGTGTCATTGACATCTCTAATAAGGAGCAAATGACAGTGCTTACTTGTTGATGTGCTGAATCTTCCTCTAGGTACATAAGACATATCTTAATGCATTCAGGAGGATCACAGGAAATGCTCACTAGACACTTGCACATTAATAGTCCATGTGCCTAAATTAAAACCTATCTATGGGCAAGCCAAATACTTTCCCTTGCAGTAGGGCAACTCCCGCACTACAAGGGTTACCTGCTTGTTTATACCTAGGGATTTGGAGAAAAGCACTTTTACTTACCTGATTCCCAATCACGCTGGCTCCAAGACTGGCACCTGCAGTCTCTTCCCCTGCTGATACTATCACATCTAATGTAGGGCCCATGAACCTGCATTAGATGTGAGGATGCTGAGGGCCATTCCACCAGCCGGAGCAGTAGGGGTTTGGCATGACCAGCTGGGGAGCAGGGATTAGGTAAGTAAATCTGCATTAAAGAACCCCATAGACATAAGCTAGCAGTTAACCCTTGCAGCATGGAGGTAGCCCCACTGCAAGGGGGGGTGGGTTGTTTGTCTAGAGATAGGCTTTAAAAATCCAGGTGAAATACAAAACAGTAAGATAATAAGCTATGTATGCTTTTGGAAGTACTAATTGTAAGCCTCTGGTGCCACCCTCACAGAGTGTGTGCCTATGCAGGGGCAGAACCCTAGGATGCATGATCCTGGGCTACAAGCCAACATGCAGACACACAGCACGCCTGTGTTCCACCAGAGTACCTACTCTGTGGCCCCAATGTACACCTATGCTATACAGAAGCAGCACAAGGAATCATGGGATGTGTAGTTCTGGCAGAACTGACTACGTCACTGCCAGGGGACATGCAGCTTGTACATGGGTGCACATACTGGAAGTTGCCACTGGGACTTGCAAAGCCATGCACGGTGCATAGATTTAATAGTGCAGGGCTGGCAACGGCCCCACTAACATCGGCGTCCTTAGGTGGAGGACGGTCCCACCAGCTGCCCTGGACTCTCCCACACCATTGGATCCTTCTTGACCACCTATTACCTTAAAATTCATTTCTTGGGCTTTTTAGGCCCATTCTGGTGTGCAAATTCTACCTCCTCCACTCTGGGTACACATGCCCATGGTCCGTTCGTTGCCCATGCCGAGCACTTGTTGACCTCACACTGCAGGGACTACCTCCCTCTCCTCCTGATGAAGTGCCCCTTGGCGCGAAACGCGTTGAGTCCACTAGCAATGCTTCTCTAGCACTGCAAGCCAATGATCACCCCTATAGGCATTGTTCCTTGCATTCGAGGTTTATCAAATTAACCAATATTATGTATTTTTTGTTGTTGCTGCTATGATGTTGTACCTTATATACTCAGGTCTTGGAAATATCAGGGGTCTAAACAGACCCCTGATATTTCCCTTTTGAAACAGAAAAAGAGAGATTGAGGAGAGATTGAGAGTCCTTAATCTTTTTCTGCATCCCCTGTTATGAATAACTGAGTGTTCCTGTTCATTCATAAATTGTGGATATAGCATGAGTTACTATGTCCACAATCATGAACAAACAGTAAATGATGTAGCACTTCCTATTCATTCATAATTAGGGACACAGTAAGCATACTATGTGCTCAGTTATACAAACACTCAATGTTGTTTGTATACTACTCTCCATCCTGACTCCTCCGCCTATCACAGGAGGTTAAGTGAGTGGTGTGGGGAGGAGAGCTTGGCCTCCTGTGACACCTCTGACAGCACTCTCCTCCCTGCCCTGCTCAGCATTCTGAAAGTTTATCTCCTTCCTGCTGGGTGCTGCTTTGTGTCCCCACCGATCCCCGCAGCCTCTGCTGACACAGGCGGGTATCATGGGGGACACAGAACAGCACCCAGATGGGAGGAGAGAAACTAGGATTGCACCGCATTTTTGCCCCAAAAAAATGTTCTTTCTGCATTTTGCCCAATGTACCACTTTTGGCCGAAATGTTTTGGTGGTTGAAATTTCGGCGCTTCCCTACACAATTCTGTATGTGAATTCATGTTACTGTTTACAGCCTTTATAGTTTACAGTACACCATCATGAACCAGTTGTTCCATCAATTTACTGATCGATTGCTACTAATTCATTCCCAGCCATTTTAGTAAATGAAGGTGCTCACAATCTCATTGAGTTCTTTAAAACCGAACAGAACAGAACATGTTGTAAAAATGACCTGGACTATAACTGACAAATGTTTAATTAGCAATTGATTACATATAATTTGCTTCTCTGAACAGTGTAATTGAAATAAGCCTTGTCTTCGTTTTATTTATTGAAAGGAAAAGGTCCTTGTCTGGACATCGAAAGTCACCGTGGTCACAAAATTGGCTCTGTTGTGAGGCTGCCAGCTCGGAAATGGACCCAAAGGTGAGACAGGTCTTCGCTATTATTCCAGTAACACTGACACATGGCAACTAATGTCCTCTTCACATTTATTATACATTGGCAGAATGTTAAAAAGACTTAATTTAGAAATTATAATCTGCTAGTAGGATCATCAGCTTCTACATAATTCTTAGACTAATACGTTTTTAATGAAGGAACTCAATTCCAGCTGATTCTAATGGTAATTTGCTTTAAATATTTAATGCCTGTAGATTCTGTGTTTTATGTACATCTGTCAGTTCTATAACCAGGGTAGGTGAGGGGGGAAGGGTGTATGTGCACATAAATAGAGCTTCTGACCCCATCTTGTATTAACTAAATATGTCTCTCATGTGACATATATTATTCAGTGGTATTGTCTACCACATAAACTACTGTATTACCACTGGAAACCTTATTTAAAGGACCATTGTACTAAATATTAAAATATTAATATTTTTTAAATATTAAAATATAAATATGTAAATATGAATTCAGTTTTTATCTAACATGCCTTATTATTATACTTTGCTCCACATTCACATACAAGCTAACCTATCCAGCAAACGTGACCATGACAGGGATTAGCATAAGGAGTGCTCAAAGTATACTTTTAAACTTTAAGTATATATTGTATGTAGGGTTGCCAACTTTTCTTCACGCCATACCCAACACTGTTTGCGGCACACAGCAATTTTTTATGGAGAGTATACAGGAGAGAGAGTGAGGAGAGTTAGCCAGGAGAGGTAGTCAATCTGATTGAATGTCTTTAGCAATGCTGAAGAAATCCAGCTGCTGTCAAGTGCTAACTTCACCGGTCTGCATTAAGAAGGTCACTTCTATTTTCTCAGCGGTGCCCCTTCAAATCTGTCATGGAGGAGAGACTTGAATTAAGTGATTTTAAGCCTCACCTCCATGGTGGATCAGGAGAGACGCTGCTACACCAAAAGGAAAGCGCACAAAAGCGGGTCTAATGACACGGATCCGACACTGAGGTGTGGCTTGAAATCGCTTTGTTCAAGCCTCTCCTCTGTGGCTCAGCTGGGTCTCTCTGAATGTCGCAGCATTACATTATACAGCAATGCAGAATGCCACCAGCTATAGATGACTACAAATCTCAGCAATACATTATACAGCAATGCAGAATGGCACTGGCTATAGAGGTCCACAAATCCCAGCAACACATTATACAGTAATGCAGAATAATACCATTATCTATAGAGGACTACAGATACCAGCAATACGTTATACAGCAATGCAGAATGGCACTGGCTATAGAGGACTATAAATCCCAGCAACACATAAAGCATTGCAGAATACCTTCAGCTTTAGAGGACTGTAAATCTCAGCAATACATTATGCAGCAATGCAGAATACCACCAGCTATAGAGGAGTACAATGCAGAATGGCACCGGCTATAGAGGACAATAGAGGACTATAAATCCCAGCAACACGTTATACAGTATTGCAGAATGCCATCAGCTTTAGAGGACTGTAAATCTCAGCAATACATTATGCAGCAATGCAGAATACCACCAGCTATAGAGGAGTATAAATCTCAGCAATACATTATACAGCAATGCAGAATGGCACAGGCTATAGAGGTCCATAAATCCTAGCAACACATTATACAGTAATGCAGAATAATACCATTATATATAGAGGACTACAAATACCAGCAATACTTTATACAGCAATGCAGAATGGCACCGGCCATAGAGGATTATAAATCCCAGCAACACATTATACAGCATTGCAGAATACCACCAGCTACCTCGGTATCCGGGTCGGTGACCGGCCACAATCAGGCAGCGGCAGCCCTCTATTTAGGCATATTATAGGGCCGCTTCTGAACATGTGTGTCATGTATTGCATAAAAAGGTACATGTACCTTTTTTCTGCGATTGCCGTGGGGATGTACCCGATTAAAAGTTACTTAAATACATGGCAAGATAAATGACTGGCTGTGCCAAACAGACAGCCAGGCCTCACTAACATTGCTCATACCTCATACAGGCTGCAAGTAAATTTCAGCTGTGGTTGTGACTTCACATTGATACAGAGCCGTTTCTTTTTAAACAGATTTTTTTATGCAAATCTAAGTAACATGAACATGTCCAGCCTTCATAGTTGGATTATGTGTCATATTTGGAAAATAAAACAGTATATGGTAGTGATATAAGTCATGGGTGTGTCATCTAAACCCTTGGTTCTCAACTGGTGGGTCGTGACCCAAAAGTGGGTCGTGACCCCATGTTCATTGGGTCGCGACCCCATGTTCAGTGGGTCGCCGCATGGCTTCTACTTTTCTAGGTGAAAAGCTCATCAGCCTCCCTAGCGCAGCACTGTCAGTTCTTGCGCCAAAAAGCCATTCAAAATATGCTGGCCGGTGCCGAATGTCAGCTTAAGGTGGGATGGGCTGTGGCTATGGCCGTGAGGGATCTACATCTATACGTACAGCTCCCTTACGTGTCCTATAGAGGTGCCTGGACCAGAGTGATGTCACATTCTGGCTACCTACAGGGCACCTACAGTGATCTGTACAAGCAATGAACATATGGATGGAGCTCTGTCACAGTACAGCAGCCCACACTGGACCCCAGGATGATGATCAACTCCAGTTCTCATATGGTAGGGAGACTGGGTGGATCTTTTGAATGGCACCCCAAACACACCTCCCACCCACAGTTTGATCGCCCGGACCGGAATGTGCAATGCCGTGCGCTCCATTGCAGTGCAACTTAAGTCGCGAATTAATGATCAAGAACAAATGTGGGTCCCGAGGTTACACAGGTTGAGAACCACTGATCTAAACCTTGTCACACTCTGCAGGAATAGTGTCAAGTGTGATCTACAGCAGTGTTGTGGCTGCAATCATTTTAAAGTGGCACTATCAGCTTCAGTCTTTTCAGGTTAATATTTCTGTAGCATTATACATACCTGGCTGCCACTATACATATGGTATTGTACTACATAGGAACATAAATAGGAACCCTATTACCTCCTTCATTGATTGTGCACAGTATTCCTATACAAGGCTTTATATAGTACAGTACAACATGGATACTTGTTTGCTGACATGAGAAAACAGCTGCCATACATTTGTACACTGTCTTCCTGTTCTGGCAGACATTTCAATGGTATTTTTTCTGTATTTCTATTTTAATTTTAATTGGTGATTAGCAAATGTCAGGCCTCATCACTCACATGTAAATTGTGTATGTAGAACCAAAATTATCCACATAGAAAGCTATGGCATGTACCATGACTTTCATGGAAAAACTTTGCTTAAATTATGCAAAGTTTAAATTAGACGGGCACTTTGAGGAACACATCTATGACGTAAATGGACAACCCCTGTACCTCTGCTTTTGACCATATTTGTGCAAACCCTATCATCTTGAAACTATTGTATAGATTCATGGAACAGCAGAAACACATGCATGCCCTTTCAAGGAAGAAAGACACATGTATTCAGACTCATCAAGGAAAATCAAGATCATGTTACCTGATTTATTTAGAAGTCCTTGTGTACTTGCATTTCCATATAAGAACATCCATTATTTACTTAAACTATTACTAAAATGTGGAGGATTGCTTAATCATAAGGCCCCATTTGCAGAGATGCATCAAGCCTGTGTTCCCTTTCTCCACTGAGTACACCTAAACATTAAGGGCACAAAAAGCGTATATTGGGAAACCTTCCGTTTTGTTTTATTTATAAGTTCATAATTTTTTAAGTGATGTTTTATTTTCTTTTTTTTAACTAATCATAGATTATCTACATTTTACAAATATGTGTATAATACAGGATGCACCCATTACACTGGTCTTGCAATGCAGTATGGGTTTTGTAAAGATAAAGCAAAGCAGTAGTTTTTTCCTTTAAGTTTGTCTCTTTAATTGAGCTTGAGCTATTGGTCTCTTTATACAGTTTTTTTTTTTTGCAACAAAGCAGGTAAGAATAGCTTTGTAAACAAAGAATGCATAGACCTTCACTTGCTACCTGTAAATAATAACTATGCAATATTCATGAGCAATATTTATATGTTTGCTTGGCATAAAAGATAAGCAATTTTAGTCTTAAAGGCTACGTCTACCTTTTCTGACCATGTTTCATTGTATACCCACATTCAGGAGAAACCCCTCAACCCCCTTTTTCCCTTTAACTTACCTGAATCACAGTGTTCTTCTCCCTGCAGGCTATGTTTGAAATTGGCTCTGCCCATACAGCCGCGTCATTTATTTCCCGTTCCTTTGATAGGATCTATGAATAGCGAAACTACACGTCCTTTCAGCCACCACTACTTGTAGTTCTTAATGGGATAAAAGTGTGCTGATGTCACCAAACTTGTCGTTCATTCATTCTTCCTCCTGTCTATGTTACTGATAGTCTGTACCTCGGCATGGACAGTGATGGGAAGGGAAATGTGCAGGAGCCAGAACACTGATCACAGTTGCAATGCTTTACTGGCTCCAGAGCAAAAAAAATAAATAAATGCACATTTTTACTTTCTTTTAAATGTGTGCAATTTATATTATTTTTTACCTTTTAAACATAATAAATAAGTATTAGAATGCTATACATTGCATTTAAGCCAAATAGATAGGTGAAGCTGAATTGACCGTGGACCGCAGTGTACGTCTCCCCAAGGCCTCCCCATGTAGTCTTTCAACTTGTGAGAGGGCTAAATGCATTTGCAAATCCTGATGTTCTGTGCACAGATCTGTGCAGAGAGCAGAGCTGTGGGAGGGAGCCAACAGGCCCCACCCATTACAGGCTGCCTGCAGAAAACTACAGGAAGAGGCGGAGACAAGACAAATCACTCTGTTCAAGGAGAAAGAACAGCAGTGACTGGTCTTTATTACAAGATGCTCCTGCACAGAGGCAAAGTTTCACACTGGATTACTGTGCAGCTCTAAAAGAAATACACAAAGCTCAAGATTCAAGTAATAATACATATGCCTCTTGCATTTAGGCAATACTTGCTTATCCGGGAAATTCAACTCTAAAAATTAAGACAATCCCTTTATTAGCTTTTTGATTTGAAAAAAGAGAACTGGAACGAGGCAAACTTGGCAGGTACTGGGTCTGCACAGCTGCCCTCTTGCACCCAGCGCTTCACTATTGCTCTGTGAACTGTGTGATACATTAAAAACGGAGAAAGGGAAATGAAAGCAATGGTGGAGCTTTTTTTAATCAAACAAAAGGTCAAACCCAATTGATTGGCTGCTAATAGTATTTGTCCTGCAGAGAACCATGTCATTCCTCTGAATTGTGTGATTCTCCACAGATTGGGTAGTTGTGCTTTCAAACACTCAAATCAAAAGTCAGTGAATCCCCATGTTCTGATCATCATTTCCGACAATTGTTTTATAGTGCAGGCTATACAGCACCATATGTATGGCCGCCATTAGAAATCATGGGGCTAAGTACAGTCCACCTGACAGGGCCCCCCTCCCCTGGAGTTATCGCTCAATTTACTGCAACACTTAGCAACAAACTTTACATGTGTTGGTGCGATGCAGTGCCATTCATTCTGAATGAAATCTTGAGATGGGCATGCGTTGTGGTTGCCTGCTAAAAAATAGCAGGTGCATTGCATGGCAGCGTGTGTTAATTGCATGGAACCGTGTGATTAACTTATTGCATTGGTGTGAATGGGCTCTCGGAGTCCGCACAGCATCCGCAATCTGTGCCCCAAGGTCAGAGCTCCCATTTATGCAGCTCTCCTACCCGTTATCCTGATCTGCTCCTCCCCGCTATCACCGATAACTCCACCTACATCTCCACCCCATTCTCCTTCTGCGCTGGCTCACTAAGGTGAATACTACAGTGTGCAGGTCCAGCTAACTTACTGCCTAAGCCTCCAGTGACAGCCTACCTTCCTGCTGCATCACTGGAGGCTCAGGCAGCAAGTTTGGTGGACCTGTACACAGCAGCACATACCTAAGATACCATGACAGCTGTGGGGGAGGAGCCTCAGCTCCATTGTCTGCTTTCAAGCTAAGGTCGGGCATCCCTGCTGAACCAATGGGGTCTAGGCCCAGTACGGGAGAGCTGGCTGTACCCCTCATCAGCGACCCTGACCATATGTTGAAAATTTGGTTTTGTTGCTGCCTGCGCCCCCATTGGAATATGTCCCCTTTGTTCTGTTTGTCACACACATGCACAATCACATATAGACACACAAAGGTTGAACTTGATGGACCTGTGTCTTTATTCAACCTCAAATACTATGTAACTATGTAACTATGTAATACATATCAATTGAATTAAGATTCATTATATCAGGGCTTTACTTTGTGTTAATCAAGCCTACAACACCCACAACCACACAGGTGTCTCTGCCACTGACAACCATCTCTGGGTTTTTTCCAGTAACTTCCAGGTCCAAAAGGAGCATCAAGTAGCTACACCACAGCTTCAGCTACTGATTGAACCATTTAACTAATAATCTTAAAATAACTGTTGTTTGTCATTATAATGAACTTTTTTTGCTGGGAGTTTACTCTCTATGTGTAAACAGCCACACATTAATTATTCAGTAATGCTTCAGAATAGATTAACAAGAGATATGTATCTACCGGTTATATTTGGGAAAACTAGACAGGAAATGTTATTTTAATGAGACAGAACATTTTAACAGCAAGACTCCATTAATTTGTAGGCATTGCTGGAAACACTGAAGACTCCAAGTCCAAATAAATGAAATACAAACATCTAGGGAGACTTGGCAGTGTTTTCCTTTCTGGGTGACTGCTGAATCACTGCTGGAAGGGACCTTAGATCATTTGGCATAAAAATCACCCAGGCTGTGAAGTGTATTCAACAAGCACACTGAAATACTTAGTAATCGTACTGTGTGTAAGAAATCATGTACACTATTGGCAGTTCATTTTACAAATTTACTGCTATCAGCATGCTGCTACCTAATATTGATGGAGGCTTAATTGTGTGTAATTCTCTGTGCAGGCATCATCTCCGCATAAACAAGGCGTCAAAGGTCGTTCAAAATCCACAGAAGAGATACAGCAGGCTAAAAAGGTAATGGTATAATGATAACCCATTTACCAAAAACTGCCAAGATCAGTAGCCATATGCAAAGTGTAGTAACGAATATCAACTAGAAAGATTTCCATTACTGTAGTTTAACCAATCAAAGATGTTCTGTTTGGTTGTAATAGACTATTGCACATGCCTTACTAAATGTGGATGCAAGCACAGTTTAATTTATTTTTTCCTTTATAGGCTTTTCATACACCTCAGAAGTCTCTGCCGAGTACCAGAGAGGAGAGCAATGTGCAGGTAACATCAAATATAGCTACATTATCATGTGAAATAGGGCATACCTTAAAAAAAGGGCTAATGCAGCCTTTTATAATGAAGAAAAAAACTTTTTAGCTGTACTGTAGTATTGATCACTGATGCATCGATACTGTTTTTTCAGTATGGTGTACGAGTACCGATATTTATCTTTCGGTACTCGCCGATACCTAGTACCGATATCGGTACTTCCGCTAGCATGGAGCCAGCTTTCCAGGCACTCAGGAAGCTGCTAAGCCGGCTCCATGTTCCCTCGTGGCACTGCAGGTCAGAGGAAAACTTCCTCTGACCGGAACTTCTGGTATCGGGGGTAAGTATCGGAGCATTTGTGCGAGTACGAGTACTCGCCCAAATACTCAGTATCGGCACAGATATCAGTGCATCAGTATTGGTGCATTCCTAGTAGTAGGGTGATCTACTAAAGGTGTTACCATCAGTGAATCTTAGTTAACTTATATTTCTGTTTAGAGCTGGTCAAAGAGATGTATGTATGTCATACTGCCAAAGGATGCTTTTTAATTACAGACAACCATACCAATGTATCATTACAGCTCTATAGCAATGCTCTGGTCTGGTGTTAAACTAATACCCAACATGTGTAGTGCGTTCGTCGTTTTCATACATAGGCGCCCCCGACGCGTGTTAATTTTTAAAATTATTTTTAGATTTATTTTATTAAATTTTAATTTTAAAAACTGTTTTTTTTTTAAACTTTACTTTGATTGCTATCACATAGGGGAACTTACAAGCCCCTCATGTAATAGCAGATGGTGGTGACAGGTATTCTTTAAGGTGATACTGGGGGTCCAAAAGATCCCCAGTGTCACCTTTACACAAATAAGCTATTGAAATGCAGATCGCACTTCAATAGCTTATAGCTGCGCTTCAGGAGCATAGAACTGACAGCCCAGGGACCGGAAGTGATGCAATCTGCATCGCTCACAGTCCCATTGAACGGGGAGGGGATCGGCGAATCTCCTCCCCAGCTCCCCGCCGATAAGAGAGAAGTTGGTCCCAGGCCTGCAGGAGGGGCAACGGAGCACGGGAAGCACGGCCGGGGTGTCAGGCGGGGGGTGACCCCTTCACCGGGCCATAGAAGTGATCTGGCGACAGCTGAGTCGCCAGAATCGCTTCTATTGTAAAGCCGACAGTCAGCTTTACAAGTTTAAACAGAGTCTGTTTAAACAGCCCCGATGCTAGCCACGTACATTGTACGCCATCAGTCGTGAAGGGGTTAATGTCACTTTAAGTGCTTGTTTTTGCCTAATGCCGGCTTGCTCTTAGACCGGTCCTTGGAATCCCTCTCCCCCTGAGGTCCCTGAGTCCTCACGTTCTATATACAGTGTATAGGACGTGAGGACACCAAGGGATATACCATCGCTGCAGTGGAGGATGAGACATGCTTGAGGGGGTGCTGTCACAGCCAGTCAGCTCACAGGAGCTGGTGAGTATATCTTTGTTATTTTTGACCCTAGGCAAAAACTAGCACTTAACCCTTGCAGCATGGGGGTAGCCCCACTACAAGGGTGAACAACATTTTTAGCCAGAGTTGTTCTTTAAAGAATCTAGAGTGTAAAGAAGTTTTTATTAGGGTTATAGAGTCATTGTGTGAAAGAGCACTAATAATTTTGTTATAATATCAAATATCATTATGGTTATTAATAATATCGCTACTACTCCTTTACCTTTTATCCAATGCACTGCTCCCTAATAGTACTGATTATGCTGGCTAAAGTGTCTGCTGAGGTCTGTTGTCACCCAAAGTTTCAGCAGAGCTGTAGAACTAAATTCCTGTATGGTCCTATGTATAGAAGTATAATGATAAGGTACTTTCCTCCATTAAAAAAATAAGAGCATTATGTATCAACATATTGTACGCAAGCACCAATCCGCATTAAACCAGCCTTGAAAGTTGGAACTTGCTTGGTGACTGTATCCCTTTTGAGGGGATTTCCTATCTCTTCCTGTTCTGTATGACACTCGTCAAAGAAACAGAAGGTAAAGAGAAATCTCCAAAATGGGTACGCAGATAGCAGTACAGAGGTAGCGCAGAGATTCTAAACCTTCCCCATTCTATTTAAAACTAATAGAAAGTAGTTTTGGCTTGTCATTATATGGCCATGGGAAAATAATTCAAGTTTTTAGCAAGAATACATTGATGCATAAGGTCAGGGGCTGAGGCGGGGCCTCTGCATCATCTCCCTGCCCAGCTCTGGCCAATGTCCTGCCCACTGACATCACTGATAGCCAGTGATTGCCAGGAGATGGGAGGGATGCTGCCCAGAGTGTCCCAGGTTGCTAAGAGTTGGCCAGAGATGTTTACGGCTCTTAGCAACCTCCGGACTCTCTTGCCGTAAAGGGGGCGGAAGGCACTCTGCAAATATTGTGCAGTAGAGTGGCCTTGCCGCTCTGCCTGCTGCCCCCACCCCCTTCCCACATGACCCAAAGAGATACCGCCCTGAACTAACAGCCTCAGGCTGCCTCATCGTAGATACAGCCCTGCTTAAGGACATAAGTAAAGCAACCTTAACTTGTAGGAGGATGATTGAGCAGCACAACATTTCCACATGCATCAATGAGCCTTGGCTGGCCATGACCCAGTCGCCAGTTCACCAGTTTTCCTTTCTTTGACCACTTTTTGTAGGCCCTGACCACTGCAGACCAGGAACATCCCACAGTGGCTGCAGTTTTGGAGTTGCTCTAACTAGCCATTACAATTTGGCTCGTGTCAAAGTTGCTCAAATCCTTACGCTTCACCATTTTTTTTTTCTGCTCCCAAAACACCAACTTCAGGGGCAAAATGTTCACTTGCTGCCTATAATATTCCACCCACTTCCAGGTGCCATTGTAACAAGATAATCATGTTACTCATCACCTCTCAGTGGTCATAATGTTATGGCTGATCTGTGTATATGTCAATGTGACTGTAAATAGACAAAACACGGCATAGCATAGCTAGGTTATTCATGAGATGTGCTGGCAATACATAAGTATTTTGTATTGCTCTGCAGTGATTATGCACTGACTGTGCAGACATGGGGGTTGATTTACAGTAGAGGTTGTTCCTTCCCAAAAAGTATGATTACTTTGCAAAATGAAGGTACTTTAAAGGAGAACTATGGGGTACACCTTTTTTTGCATTTTTAGTTTCCTTAGGATACAGGAATACATTTTCCTGTAATCAAAAATGGACCATGAGCTTACAATTCAGTGTAATATACTGTGGGAGAGGCTAAGCTCTGTGGTGAGAAGCTATCCCGACAATATTGTCCTCTCCCATTGAGTGACAGTAGCTTGTAGGAGCTGCTGCACATTCATGAGAACCTGTGCAGACGCAGCTCAGGGCCCATCCTATCAGAGTTTATTCATGTCAGGTCACCGGTTAACGAACACTTGCACATCCATCCTGCAGTTTCTCTTTCAGTCCCCCTCTCCTCCAAACTGTTGTCTCCAGACAATTAACATACCACATCGGCACTAAGACTATCAGTTCACTAAGCCCACCTCCGCTCTGCTGTCTTGGGACATACACAGGGAGAAGAAGAAATAAAGACAACAGAGTGAAGGAGAGGGGTGTGGGGGGGTGTGGGGGGCAAGGACAAAGCTGAACTGACGGATCTTCGTGCCGATGTGGTATGTGCATTGTCTGGAGAGAGGCAAATAAAAGACAAACTGCAGGATGGATGTGCAAGTATTAACTCTGATAGGATGTGCCCTGAGGTGCTTCGCTCTACAGGTTCTCATGAACAAGCAGCAGCTCATACAATCTGCTGTCACTCAATGGTAGAGGAGGATCCAGATAGTATTGCTGGGATAGCTTCTCAGCACAGAGCTTAGTGCCGCCCGATGACAGCCGGGTGATCGTGTCAGAGAGAGGGAGCCATGGTTTCGTTTAGCGGGTGTCGTGACGGCGACCCCCCTCAGTCCTGCGCCGGGGGCAAGTGCCCCCCCCGGTTGTTACGCCACTGGCCAGGACCCTCTGGGGGTGGGTTTGGACCCCCTATCCCCCCCTTATCTACGCCCCTGAGCTTATGGTGCATTTTTTATTACAGCAGTACATTGTAAAATATATTCCTGTATCATAAGGAAACTACAAAATGCAAAAATAGTGTACCCCATAGTTCTCCTTTAATTATGTGAATGTGGGTTCACTTTGAAAACCCATTTATATGCTAGCATAAATTCAGTTTTTTTGTTTTCTCTGTCTCATGATTGGATACTCAAGAGATCACGTTACCCAAATTTGACCTAGGATGTGAGGGCTGCCTGGGGCATTACAAAGAAAACTGAACATCATGTTACTGCCAGTAATGCATTCCTCTGTGTAATAAAAGGTTCTAGATTGCTACCTTGATTGCCATTACCTTTTAGTTCTCTTTGTTGTTGCTTTGGTCGAAAAATATACTGTGAAGGGAATTTATCAAAACTGAAGCAGACAAAATCTGGAGCAGTTGTGCATGGAAACCATTTAGCTTCTCTCTTTCATTTTCAAATCTTAATTGAACAAACTGAAGAGAGAAGCTGATTGGTTGCCATGCAGAGCTGCTCCAGATTTTGTCCTCTCCAGTTTCGATAAATTCCCCTCTCTGTATTTAAAGTCCACCCTTGATGTTTACGTATCATGAGTCAAACTGATATGGCACTGGTGCCATTATACCTTACATGTCTAGTCCTTGGTTCTTGATATCCTAATAGGAACTGGGCAAGATGTACCTTTTTAGCCTCTCTGCCTAAAGCCTTGACATGCCTTGTGTGGCTACAACATCTTATTTGGTAGTGTGATACTGATTCTGGCCATACACGGCCAGAGCTTTGGTTGGCTTTGTTGGAATCACCTGGCTCGACTAAAAAATTGATGGACAGGAAAAATACAGTACGATACCTGGCAGGGGAGATTTCTCCATCCTTGCATGGATGGGGGAATGCATTTGATTCCTCTCTTTCAGTCCAAGGGCTGAATGAGAGAAATATATGCAGGTATGGCTAACTCACATCTTGCCAGGGATTGGTGCAGGAGGGGAGCAGCACAGGACAGTTGGCCAAGGGGGGCAAGGAGCATAAATCTGACCCTATGTTTCTATGTAAATACACACTATATTGCCAAAAGTATTGGGACACCCCTCCAAATAATTGGATTCAGGTATTCCGTGAAATTTCCTTGCCACTAAATATTCCACGGTCAGCTGTTAGTGGTATTATAACAAAGTGGAAGCAACTGGGAACAACAGCAACTCAGCCATGAAATGGTAGGCCACGTAAAATGACAGCGCGGGTTCAGCCCATGCTGAAGCGCACAGTGCGCAGAAGTCGCCAACTGTCTGCAGAGTCAATAGCTACAGACCTCCAAACTTCATGTGGCCAGTTTGGGGATGGCCCCTTCATTCCAACATGACTGCGCACCAGTGCACAAAGCAAGGTCCATAAAGACATGGATGAGCGAGTTTGGGGTGGAGGAACTTGACTGGCCTGCACAGAGTCCTGACCTCAATCCGATAGAACACCTTTGGGATGAATTAGAGCAAAGACTGCGAGCCAGGCCTTCTCGTCCAACATCAGTACCTGACCTCACAAATGCGCTTCTGGAAGAATGGTCAAACATTCCCATAGACACACACCTAAACTTTGTGGACGCCTTCCCAGAAGAGTTGAAGCTGTTATAGCTGCAAAGGGTGGGCCAAATCAATACTGAACCCTACGGACTAAGACCGGGGTGCCATTAAAGTTCATATGCGTGTAAAGGCAGGCGTCCCAATACTTTTGGCAATATAGTGTATTATACTTAATGCACCATTTAGTACCAGAGGTCCATATTACATTTTCTAATGGAATCTGTTTACAACTGCAGTTTCCTATATTATCTGTCTTCTCTCTATTTTGTTAGCTATTTTTAGCATCCATGACAGTGGAAAAACAGTCGTTGGAAACACTTAGAAACCACAGAAAATTCTTACTGCTTGTGTTTTTTAAAGAGCACCTGACATGATAGAATAGAATTATGAAGACTGTCATAGCTGATCTCTTTTTGAATTGCTAGTTAACTGACTGTCTTTGCTTTCATATTTTCTGGGTCACACACTGACAGCTCTGATCTGTATACATCTTCTGGGGAAATGGTTTAAAGTATTGCAGCTATTTTGTCAGCATGACAACAAGGCAAATACGTTTTCAAAATAAGTTCAGCAATGGGTTAATGTTGGGAATAATGTTATACTGTCATCTTATTGGCAGCTGATGCAACAAATTCATCATTGTTCTGTGTGTTCTGTTCCTGTAGGATTCTGCTGCTACAGACGAAAATTCTCCAAAGGCGAGAACAAGTGAAGGTCAAACACAGATCTGATATGAAGGAGCGTGTGTCAGGAAATCAGCAATGAGGCTTTCCAGCCTGTTATCGCTCAGTCTGTTTGATCATTGCTGTAACCTAGTGTGTGTGTGCCTCTTGTAGACATGGGTGTATGTAATGTATGTGTCTGCTAAGTGTACCTATCACATTATTTCTGTTCTTCAATTACCAAAAGGCTTCTACAAAGTGTTCTAATTAGATGTCTTGATATTTGCTACTAACTTGAAAAATAAAATATGTCCACATCAATTAATGTCTATTTGGGATCCTTTAAACTGTAATCAGTGTTAATTTCATAAGTGTTGTTATTTAACGTTGGTATTCTATTTTATATTGAACATGTTAATTGTTGAACTACAATAAAGAATCCTGAGAATTTATTTTATTTACTTTGCAGACCTTTTATAATTTGCTAACGCTCCTGTTAACAAATTAGAAACCAATGTTCTTTTATTAGTAACTTCATCTATACACATATGATGTGTGTGATATATGCATATGAACATGAAAGTGTGATAAATTATTGCTAGGATATATCTGCAATAAAATTGCAATTATTTGCAATAAAAGAGAAAAGTATTCTTGGATTAGTATTAAACCCCAGACCCTGGTCTTTGGGGCTGGCAGTTGTTGCTATCTCTTCTATGCTTGATACTAGGTCCCGTTGGAATTATTAAAATAAAAGATTGACATTCTTATTACCATGTCACCATGCACTGCTGAAACTACTACTACTACTACTACTTTACTATTGGGTAAATAAAATCACAACTTGACATTTTATGGCCACCAAACAAACCATGACTAAAGCTTCATAAGTCTAATAGCCAAAGTTAAACATAAAAAGGACTGGTACTTCATTAATGAGAAAATGGCAGCTTAGGTTGAATGCATTTAAAAATGTCTGGACTCCATGGACAAACCACTATTACCCAAATGACCTTGACAACACCCTACTGATACTCTAATCACCCCTACCTAGGGTACATCCATTCAGTCTATTCCTAGATACACTGCAGTCCTATGGGGTGCTTCTCTCCCCCACTTCCTGACTACTACTCTTCCTACTAATGCTTTAGCCTTACTTTCCCACTCTTCTTTTTCTCTATCTTCTATTTTACTTAGATAGTCACATTAAGATTGCTTAACACCGTTCAAAAGTTTGGGATTGAAAGCTAAAAGTAGGATTTTCCTCACCAATGTATTTACACCCCTGTTTACAGTGTAGATGCATGGGGAGCCTGGTGTTCCCCAACTAATTATGTATACATAATAACACTCTTTTTTGACAATTCTGTATGCTTTTTGTCCACTGTGAAAACAAGCATGGTTTGTTCCTTAGTAAATACTGCATCCTGAATTTGTAATGCTTCCTGTATAATATCCCTCAAATGAACACAATTGAAACCGAAAATCACAACTTGAGTGTTACAGATACATTTTTCAAGACCACCAAAAATACATTTCTCCATGCTTGGTTAAAGTGGGGTAGGGTTGACTACCTGCTGCATTTTTGCTTCTAATATCCCAGTGGTGTTGCTTTCACGCCATACAGCCAGGGCAGGCTTTTCAGCCAAGTTACCAGTTAAAGTGGATTCTCCATATATATCTTAAATATGTATAAAATGCCCTAGAATTATACTATATACTCTAAAGAAATGTGTAGGCAGGGTCTATATAGGCCACCTTCTATACAGCTGTAACATTACCTAACTGGTAAAGAAGCACTTTTTACTCTCTAGCAGCAAGCAAGAATAATAAAGATAGATTGCTCTATACTGAACAGCTTTTATTTGCTCTTAGACATTTCAGTCCTTACTTGTAAAGAACCATGTACTAATTCTTTTTACAGACATATCAATAAAGAGTCCCTTCATTGTGCTTGGCTAAATTCTGCTTACAGACATAGTGAAAAATCAGCAGAGGCTCCTAGGCCATGCTGTGTGGGTACTTAGCATTTGAGTTCTGAAAAATCATGTAAAAAAAAAATACGGATAGCACTGAAAAACATTGAGTGTTCTTCAGTTCCAATTTGTTTTATATTTTATTTGATCTTATCTTTTATATTATCTTTTTAGAATTTACAGTCTCTGGTATCCTTGAGAACTATTTCCAGAGATGCATCTATAGCAACTGGAACTGGAAATCTGGGACCTTTAACAATCTTATAGATTGTACCTAGCTGTACAACATGGCCTTAAGAGGGTTTATTTTTCTGTAATACAGGCAAAACCTATCATAAACATCTTCCTTCCAGCCCTCATTTATGTTTTTCTTGGTGCGGTTTCATAAAAGTAATATTATGAAATACTCTAATATGGATTGCCTTTTATCATACTAATTAAATTATGTTTTGAATCAGTTTACATTTTTAACAAACTTTTAGATTGATCAGTATGTTTTCCAGATCAGTCTGGCATCCCTGTGGACAATCATTTAATTTTATAACTTTTACTGCTCCATAGGGATTGTCTGTTATAGTCTAATGTTCTGCCAGAGATTTTGTTCCCTGTCCTAGGGTAAATCCCATAGCTGTTCCACATTCCTATGTTACATAGATCCTAGCTTATTTAACTGTTTTCCATTGCACAAACAATAAAGATCTTTTTTTTCTTCCAAAAACTTCCACTCATGTCAAAAGGACTCACATTGCTATTGTACTAGTTACTTGGTAGCTCTAGTTCAGAGTGTATGATATCTAGTCTCTACACATTGGAAAATAAATCTTGGGGTCTGTATCAGATTTTATAGAAGGGGGGGCGCAATATATTAAACCCAATTCTAACTTCATACTTTTTTTGGTTTTAATCTTTCATCTTTTATCTATAAAAATTTATAAAAATATCTATGTTTTGCACATGTTCATTATTCTCTATAGCAATATTATTTTCCCCACTCTCATAATCAGTGATAGGGTGGAGAGAGGTGACGCAGCAGGAGGTTGTGGTTTGACGTCTGCCTGAGGAACAGCTGCGGCTGCGTCTCCCTTAGTAGAGAATATTTGTTTGCTGCATGTCTATTGTAATCTTGTGCATTGATCATAGCGCACTTTTAAATGTAAGTATTTTTATAATTATAATGAAGTTAACTTTTGCTTACAGAAAGCACTATGGGACTGTTTATTTTATATCTTTGAGTCACCACAATGAATAGGATTCGACTGCTAATGCCCACATATGTGTATTTATCTGGAATACAAGCACTATTAAATCCTATAATAGTTTATGGTCCATCAAACAAGGTGACATCCAGTCCCCTAGGGGATTATTTGGAGGTTGGTACAAAAGTGGCACTTCCCACAGACACATCGGATTGTGACTGATCACCATGGTATTTCACTTTTATGCGGAAATCTCACGGGACTGATGAATTATGCAGAATTGTTAGAATTTTCTCACTGGTGAAACATTAATTGGTTACATTATATTCTCTATGTACTTATCTTATTTAGATTGTTTATTTTATTAGCATGTATACATATATGAGTTATTACACTATAGATGGTTGATTATGATTTTAAGGCATAGTCTGATTGTATGATTATGTGAGTGGGAATATAAAATTACCAGAGTACACTAGACAAGCAAGATACATGTACATTTATTTTCACATGTAAGATACTTATGGACACTGGTGTCAACGGCTTAAGATAGAACTCCAGGCATTAACAAAGTTAACTTTTGCAGTGGGGCTACTCCTGCGCTGCAAGGGTTAAGTGCTTGTTTTGGTCTAGGTGCTAGATTACAGAAAATATTCTCACCTGATCCTCAATCCTGCCTGGCTGCTACACTGATCCCCACAGCCTCTTCTCCCCTGGACTCTGATGATCTAAGACCCCCTGACGTCATCTTTTCTAATGCAGGTCCATTCACCTGCATTAGATGTGAGGATGCCGAGGAACATACCACAGCAGGAGCGGAGAGGGACAGTGGTGAGTAGTGACTGACGCAGGACTGAGGATATCTTCTGCAATCTAGCTACTAGAGAAAAATTAGCAATTAACTCTTGCAGTGCAGGGGTAGGCCCACTGCAAGGTTTAACTATGTTAATTTGTGGAGTTCTCCCTTGAGGTTTTTTTCAAGAGTTTTTATTACTTATTTTGTTTTAGTGACCAAGTATTTTATGTTACATTTCATATATAAATGTATGCACATTTTTTAAATCTGTACACAAAAGCATACTTCCAATTTTCTGACCATATGACAGCCTCAGCCAATTGTTAAATTTTTACAATTTCATACATGTCCCAAAACATTCCAAAGAAATGTCTCCTTTCTATTTAGATGTGATCTGTGCTGTGCAATTCTACTTCTTGGCTACAGCTTCCATTAGGTGACCGGATTTCCTTTTTTTCCTTCCCAAAGGTTCAGTGGAACATTTCTGCGTAATGTGCGTTGAAACAATCAAAAAAGCATCCTTAATTTTACCTTGCTCATTGACTCCAATCCATTTATCCAAAATAGTGATTTTCACTGAAATTTTGCAATTTTTCCCCCCTGAATTTTCATACATCCCAGAACTTGTAGACTTCAGTCTAAGGGATTACTCTCATGGGCATGCACACCCGTGTAGAGACCTGCTTCCTGGAGGGATAGGTGCTGCGTGTAATGGCGTGCAGCCACCTGTACATCCCTATGGGAGACAGTGTGAGTCCAAGTGCAGGCACGCGGACTTGCACAGATGTGCAGGTTCGGGGTGGCATGTAGCAGCATGTAAATGCGTCCTACTATAGGGAGGTACAGGCGGCTGCACACAATTGTCCCTCCTGGGAGCTGTCCCTCCCGGGAGCAGTCTCTGCATGGGCGTGCATGCTTGTGTGAATGAGCCAAAACTGATTCCGAGAGCTTGCCTTTTCCTTTCCTGGTTTTGTTCTTGTCATACAGATATTTGCACTGGGTGCACTTAAAATTAATTTTATTATTTTGAAAAATGCATAAATGCATAGTTACATAGTTAGTCAGGTTGAAAAGACACATGTCCATCAAGTTCAGCCTATAGAGATATGAAGAAAAAAAAGGAAGAAAAGCCTAAACAGAACGCTAAGCCCACAATTACCCACTGTTGATCCAGATTAATTGATGATGTGCTCTGAGCAGACGTCCATCTGGCCGTTCACAAACGGCCATGGACGTAAGGTAGTTAATTGGTATTACATTTACATATTTTTACATATGCCTGGAGTTCATCTTTAACAAAAAATTTGAGTATTGTTCCAGTTTAACAGAGATCTGCATTACAAGAACAGTACTAACAATTTAAATGAGCAATCATCTGTAGATGATTTGGCAAAAACAGTTAATCAAAAGGTGCACAAAGTGTATTATGTAAATCTGGTGTGAAATAGGTGAATATCTTACTGTGGGAATCACTTCACGTTGGACTACA